ATAATAATGGAGTCCTGTCAGCCCTCTATGCCCTCCTTCGAGCACGTCGTGGATCTACTTCAACCGAAACTAGTGATATCCCAATCCGAGACGATTGCCCATGGACGTACCCAACAATCCGCCGACCCCTTGTGGGTCTCTAGGCGTGTGAGATAGTTCCCCCCCCCATAATCCCCCCCCCAGGGACCCCAAACCGGAGATTTGACCCCCCCCCCCCGGGCCCAGTACGAGCGCGTCACGGGGCTCTTTTGGGCCCAAAAGGGGATCAAGACGGGCCCAGAAGGCTCCAAGAGGCCTCCAAGACGGCCCACGAGGGCCCCGAGACGCCAAACGAGCGCCCACACACGCCCAAAATGGCCCCAAGACGAGCCTAGAGGCCTCCAAGACGGCCCAAAAGGTCCCCACGAGGCCCCAAGAGGCCTCCAAGATGCGTCCCAAGAGGGTCCCTAGACGCAAAAATTAGCCCGTTCCCTTAGTAAAACGTATAAGTTTCACACATTCGCTTTCTGGGCTTTCCGACGCTCCAAGACGGCCCAAGAGGCCCCGAAGACCGCCCCAAGACGGCCCAAGAAACCTCCAAGAGGGCCCCAAGATAGCCCAAGAGGGCCCCAAGGCGGCCCAACAAGCGTCCAAGACGGCCCAACAGGGCCCCGAAAAGGGCCCCAAGAGCGCTCCAGGAGCGCCCCAAGTGGCCTCCAAGAGAGCTCAATATGGTCCCAGACAGCCCAAGAGCGATCAAAGACACCGAAGATGGCCTCCTGACGGCCCAAGATGCCCCCAAGAGGCCCCAAGAGGCATCCAAGATGCGTCCCAAGAGGGCCTCTAGACGCAAAAATTAGCCCGTTCCCTTCGTAAAGCGTGCGTTTTTCACAAATTCGCCTTTCGGGCTTTCCGACGCTCCCAGACGGCCCAAGAGGCCCCCAAGACCGCCCCAAGACGGCCCAAGAAGCCTCCAAGAGGGCCCCAAGACAGCCCAACAAGGCGCTAAGACGGCTCAAGCGGCGCCGAAGACGGCCCAAGAGAGCCCCGCTGACGGCCCCAAGAGCGCTCCAAGTGGCTTCCAAGAGAGCTCAACATGGTCCCACACGGTCCAAGAACGATCGAAGACACCCGAAATGGCCTCCAGATGGCCCAACACGCCCCTGAGAGGCCCCCAAGATGCGTCCCGAGACGGTCCCTGGACGCAGACATGTACGTATTCCCGTCGTGAAGCGTACAATGTTCACACATCCGCCTTCTGGGCTTTCCGACGCTCCTAGACGGCCCAAGAGGCCCCGAAAACCGCCCCAAGACGGCCCAAGAGGCCCCCAAGACGGCCCCGCGACGGTCCAATATGGCCCCAAGACGGCCCAAGAGGTCCCCAAAACGGCCCAAGAAGGCTCCAAGACGGCACCAAGAGGGGCCCAAGAGGGCAACCAACAATTCAAAAATCTAGCTTTCCGCCCCCACGAGCCCCAGGGGGCCCCAAGAGCGCCCCAACAGGCCGCCAACGGCCCTCAAGAAACCGCCAAGACGCCCCAAGGAGCCCACAAGAGGCCCCCAGGAGGCCCCCAAAAGACCCCCAGACGCTTCCGTATTGCGAGCCGTCACGCCAACTGCAATGCACTCCGCGCATACAACCTTACTCTTCCTCGCGACGTGCTCACTATCTTGCTCGGCGCTAATGTGCTGCTGCCGCGCGAACTGTTTCGTGCGCGCTGCGAACGTCAACAGCCTCTTCACCCGTTTCGATTCATCTGCCACATCTTTCGCTGTGATGCTTCGCTGATCACAGCTTCCACACACTACTCTTGCTCCTTTCGTCTTCCAGTGTTCCTCCACTTGGTTGCGGGTCGAAAGGCCGACCTCCCAGAAGGACACCCCGCACCCGGGTGCACAGCACGCAAAGCGCTCGCAAAACACGCCCCAGACCACCGGCATCACGCAAACATTTGGACCCCCTGCGTATCTGCCACCACCCGCGCGCGACACCGCACCCTCACACAAGACGCCGCTGGCCAGAAACCCCTGGCCTCGCAACACTCACAGAAGGGGTCGGCGGATGTGGCGTAAGCCTGTAGAGTCTACAACAAGCAGCAATATCAACGGGCTCATCGAATCTGGATGAACATCTTATATGGGGTTCTTGGTCTCTCCTGCGTACTACATGGGGAGCCTGTGCGTTGTGCGTACCAAGCAAGCCCCACTAGGCAACACCAAATGAATGTGAGCAACAGGCGTAGGAGGTCTCTCCGGTGGACCTCCCAGGCGCATGTGAAATTTGAAAACATTGATCGATTGGCAGCGCACAAGGAGGGGATGCCTCACTTGGTCAGCGTCGGACGTCCCTCCGCTGAAACTCCCAGGGTGCCAGGAAAGCGGCGGAACCTGCGCAGTTGGCAGCGCCCAGGGAAAGAATGTCTAGTTTGATCAGCCTAAAACGTCACTGCACGGACCTGCCTGCTACATCGCCCCGCCGGGCCACACGTGGCGACAATTGCGTGTCTGGTGACACCACGGGAAGGAGTGTTAGGAGAGTCGTGCATTGATCTACGTGAAGTGCCACCTCGCTGGACACCCAAGAGCGCAATGCAGTGGCGATCGGTGCGCGCCTGGTAGCACTCAGGGAGGGCGATGTCGGGGGGCGAGGTTTCGTCTGATCGGTGCAGCGCGACACTGCCCAGGACCTCCAAAACGCTCATGGAAATGGTGGCATTTGCGCAGCTGGCAGCGCCAAAAGAAGGCGAGATCTCGTCTCATCGGCGTTCGGCGGCAGTCCGCTAGACCGCCCATGCACTCACACACGTCCCAACAACAACGCAACTGACATCATTTCTGGGGACCGATGTCTCGCTGATATGCATATGACGTCACTCGGCAACACCCCCCAAAAGAACACACGAACGTTGCGACAGTTACGCAGATGGCAGCACACAAGACGGCGACAGTTCGCTTGAATCGATGTAGGACGTCGCCCCGCTGGACCTCTCAGAAGCTCGCGGCAACGGTGACAGCTGCGCAGTTGGCCACACCGTTGGGAGGCGATTCCCCGTTGATGCGCGTATGACGACACTCCGCTGGATCTCCCAAACCTATGCAACGTGGCGACAGGTGCGTACTTGGCAACCCCCATGGAGGCCGATGTCTCGCATGAATCCGTGCGGGACGTCGCCACGCTGGACTTCCCAATCGCCTACTACCACTGCTGCCATTAGCACTCCCACTACTACTACTACTACTACTACTACTACTACTACTACTACTACTACTACTACTAGTACAACGACGACGACTACTACTACTACTACTACTACAGCTACTACTACTACTACTGCTGGCAACACTAGTCCTACTGCAACTAGTACTAGTACTAGTACTACTAGTACTAGTACTAGTACTAGTACTAGTACTAGTACTAGTACTACTACTACTACTACTACTACTACTACCGCTACCACTACCACTACTACCACTACTACTGCTACTACTACTACTACTACTACTACTACTACTACAAATACTACTTCGACTACGACTACTGCTACTACTTCTACATCCTACTTACGCGTTACTACTTCTACGTATTACGTTTTAGTTACTACGTGCTGTTCACTACTTGCGGCGTACTATCTACTACTTACGGCTTACTCCTCATTACTTACTACGTACTGCTTACTACTAATACCATTACTTCAACTTCTACAACACCTACTACTACTACTACTACTACTACTACTACTAATATTACTAGTAGTAGTAGTAGTAGTAGTAGTAGTAGTAGTAGTAGTAGTAGTACTACTACTACTACTGCTAACACTACCACTACTACTACGACTACGACTACGACTACGACGGCTAGTAGTAGTACTACTAGTACTACGAGTACTAGTACTAGTACTAGTACTAGTACTACTACACTACTACTACTACTACTACTACTACTACTACTACTACTACTACTACTACTACTACTACTACTACTACTACTACTACTACTACTACTACTACTACTACTACTACTACTACTACTACTACTACTACTACTACTACTACTACTACTACTACTACTACTACTACTACTACTACTACTACTACTACTACTACTACTACTACTAGGCGACGACTACTACTACTACTACTACTACTACTACTACTACTACTACTACTAGTACTACTACTACTACTACTACTACTACTTCTTCTACTACTACTACTACTACTACTACTACTACTACTACTACTACTACGACTACTTGACCATTGCAATCGGCCGCCGCCCAGGGGTCACTACCTTACCATTATTGCGTCAGGGGGTTGTGTTTGTGCCGGTGGCACTCCACCGACATCCTGTCGTACACGGACGGCTTTCGTCTGTGGCCGCGCTTTTTGCTGGCTGTTTCCTGGTTGTGGATTGGACTACCACCCCAGGCCGCTTTCGCACCATCCGGTGGCACAACGTTGCACATCGCCTTCGTGGTGCTCTTTTCCCTCCTGGGCCTCCTCCGCACCATCCGGTGGCACAACGTTAATCATCGCCTTCATGGTGGTCATCTCCCCCCTGGACGTCGACCTGGTCAATTGGTACGTCCTCCTCTGCAGTGCTTGAGGCTGGTGTTCACGACGTGCCGTTGACGGCAACACCACATCGTTCACCCTCTGGATCTTCGCCTGTGGCCCCTGTCCGCGGCGTACCTTTCCCTGTGCAAGCTCTTCGGCACCGCCTGCACCCCGGGCCCCGCCCACCCCGGCCGCCTGAGGCACCGCCCGCCTGTGCCCTGTCTCCCTAATAAGAGCTGTGCGTAGCCCGCCTAGCTTTTAGCGGAAGAGGTTCGCTCTCGCCCCGCCGACCAAAAAAATGTTGTGTTGTGCTGGTGATTGGCATGTTTCTGTTGTTCAGTGTCTGTCTTCTCCCCCATTTATCTTCGTGTTTTTCATCGTCCCTCATTGCGAGTATGCCCAATTTAATACTAATACTCGCTCACCACCACTGCTTCTACAGCTGCCACAATTTTTATCACTACGTCTGCGATGCCAAAGCAGACGCACACACACACTTTTTTCCTACGGACGTACCCGATGCACCTAAGTCGTTCGGCAACACCCGGACAACGCAACGGACGCATGCAACCGTAGCGGGGCGACTCCGAGGCGCATGAAACTGCTGATGCTTATGCACTTGGCTCCATGAGGGCGAACCCTTCCGAAAGTCTGTGTCGGAGGGCGCCGGTAGCTCACAGTAACCGTGCGCTGGTAGCAATCGTGGCACCCAGGAAAGGGAGAGGTATTATGTAGGCTCGCGTTGGGTGTCACTCCGCTGAACCTCCCAGAGCATCAGGAAGGTGGCGACATGTGCACCTTTGGCAGGGCGCCAGGGGGACGCCGCCCCGCCAGACTGCGGACAATGGCATGTAGCACATCTGTGTAGTGACGTTGTCGAGGTAACCGGACACAGATTACGGTCGAGACTGATTGCAGAGGACACCCGAGAGGGCACAAGTCTCTCCCAAGGGCGACCAGGTGCTCCATGAGTGAACAGGGCCTGCAACGCAATAGATGGAGCACAAGGGTACCCTTGGTTTTGTACGGTCGCTGGAGGATGCCACGCCGCACAGTCCCTGGAGCCATGGGCGCCGCAGGGGCCACAAAGAATCGCCAGACCATCCGCTTCTGGGAGCCATGGCGGGATCGCTGAGAGTTGCATGCCCCGACCTCTCGGGTGCCACCACTTCTCACCAAGGCTGGACCGTGGTCCGAAGTTGTTCGGCAAGCGCGCGTTGCCGCTGCACACCGCACCCATACGCGCAAACTGGATGTGGTGTCTGGCTCCAGTGGCAGCAACTTGGGCATCGATCCGTGGTCGGCAAATGAGTCTGCCCGACATCGCCTCCGAACCTTTGCATGCGCCTGCTTCCCACGTGCGCGCATTCTGCATTCGAGGTCGTCCGAGACGATGTAGCTCGGCGAACTGTGTGCAATCACCTGCCATCGTACACAATTCATTGCGAACCTGTTGAACCGGATCGGTTCAAATGGCACTCTGCGGAAGGTTTACAGAAGAGGTGCACTGAGAACATTACGTGGGGGAACTCGAACCACATTTCCTGACCCAACTCGTTGTGACAAAGGATGAATGGGAGGACGGTGGATGAGGAGGCAGGGGTGGCAGCATGCGGGGAAGGCTCTATACGATATGTTTTACACCCTGCTGCCCTCTCGGGAAGACCGCGATGCCGCGAACTGGCTCAGAAACTTCAGGGCGGCTCAGGAGCTCCGTCAAGATGGCTCTCAGGAGGATTCAGCAATCGCGCCTTGAGCGGACCGCAGCCGGGGGCGAACGGGACAAACGCATAGCAAAGAATGGGGGGAGCCTCCCCCGTCGCTCCCTTGCCTGTTTTCCCTTTGCCCCCCGCCCTCCCGTTACCATCGCTTCCGTTCCCCTCCGCTCCCCCCTCACATTTCCTCCGCTGCCAGCCCATACGAGTGAAGCAGCGATGCGATGTGACTTGTATGCTGACCGCCGTGCCGTAGGCACTGAATAGAATGTCTTCAGGTCCATTTGAACTCTCTGTTCCGGTCCTGAAAGTGGAAGGCGAACTGGCCCTGGGAGCTCCCTAGTACCATGATGGCCCCAATGCCTGACATCGCAATTTTCAAGGACTCCTGGGAAGCCTAGTTGAATGGAGTTGCACGTGCACTCTGGCGAGACCTCGCGGCTCCATGGGGGACTGCCACTTGCGAGCCTGTCGTCGCTTTCGTGGGCACGCGGTCCAGACGAGACCTCGCGGCTTGCCGCTTTCGTGGGCCCCGGGGAAATCCAGCGGGTCAGATCTGCACACGGATTCAGACGAGACTTCGCGGCTCCCGGAAGGGGGGGGGGGGCATCCCCGAAACCGTCGCCACTTTCGCGGGCCCCTGGGAGGTCCAGCGGTGCGGAAGTGTTGCGGAGCCATGCCGAACTTCGCGTCTCGCTGGGGTGCGTTGGCCCCAGGGCGAGCGCGAGAGGAGTATTTTGCCAGCTCTTTGCTGGTATGGGCTTATCCGTGACCATGCTGATCGGGAAAACGTGCTCGTGCTCGTGTTGTGTATCCCTCATCATATTTTTGCTGAGGCCTTTTGCTCGGTTTGCCTTCGGTGAAAGTGATGTAGGAGATGCATCCCTCCATGCCATAGTCCAATGAGTGTGGCCGGATGCCCGTTCAGCCCGACCTAACTACAAACTACTAATTGTTCACGCAAGCGTCGGAGCCTACGGCGCCCGGCAATCTGGCCTCAGACTGGTTCGCCGCGCGCGCGACGCAGGTGCATCGCACCCTAGACTCATGGCGACCCAACCATCCCAAACGGACGCACTTGAGCCACAATCATTGATCTCGAGAGGGGGCCCAGCGACATCGTCGTTGGCCCTCCTCATTCTCTTCCGCGCGCCCTCGCCAGCGATCGCGGGAGCCACAGCTGTCATTGTTCCATCCATGTCCACGATGACACCAGTCATTGGAATTGTCTTGCCATGGGGTGGAGGAGTCCGTAGTCTCCTGCTCCGTGGCATCGCGCGCGCGCCATGCTCGGCGCCGCGGCGCCTCTGTGCCTCGGTGCCGCGGAGCATCCCGGCGAAAGTCGCGGGCGGCGGGAGGACTTGCAGTCGGCGAGTACCCAGGAGAGGCTGGCCCCGAGCTTTGCGGCGCGCCCCGCTGCGTCGGGTTCTCAGCACGGCGCCGCCGCCATGACTCTTGTTGATCATCTGGCGCGCGGTTGCTGGCCCTCTGCGTTCCTTTGCCGCTGCTCGTGCTGCCCGCCCCGTTCCCCGCGCCGTGACCCCCCGCCCCTGCCGCCTCGGGGCGGCCCTCAGGCCGCGCGGGATGAGGCCGCTTGGCGCTCTTCGCAGAGGGCCCCCGCATCGATGCGCCACCGACATAATCAGATGGCGCGCCCGAGTACATAGGCTTCCCCCTTGGTGCAGGGGCCCCGCGAAACTCGGCCCGAGGCCCGTATTCCTCAATTTCCGCCGCCATGGAAGCCTTGAGTCTGGCGGGGCCAACCGCGGCTCGGCGCCTCTCGGTGGCGATCTTCTGGGCTAGTGTAATCCCAATCGAAGGGGGCTCAGTGTAGAATGTCCCTCCTCTGCCATCACTCGCATCCTGATTTATGGCCACCATTCTTTCGGGGGGGCCGCCGGGTCTTTCCCCATCGCTGGCGCGCGGAGGTGTTCATTCTGGAACCAGATAAACCTTCGGACCAGCTTCCTCGTCTCCTCGACCTTGTGAAGATTCTGCGGCGAGGGCAACTCATCGCCTGGACGTGTGGGCAGACAAGCGAATACCATCATGATGTTGATGTGGAATGCGGTCTTGCCCTGAAGAGCATGTTCCCGACGTCGGGCCATCGCCGTCGCATGGGTCTCCAACCGTTTCTCATGCGCATAGCGCTGGGCGCGATCAGCGTCTGCCCCAGTCCATCTCTTCGGCCCGAGGTCGTGGACGTCGCCCCGGCGAATCCTCTTCTCAAGGCCGTAGCCCTTGTAGACCACATTCGGCTTGATGTGTTCGGAATCAACAATGCGGGTCCCGTACTGCGCCGTCTATCGACATGCGAAGCATATCGGCGCCCCGATCCGATTGCGACAATCGCTGCAGCACAGAAGGCATCCGTCATCCCACAAGTCAGGAGCGCATAGCGCGTCCTTTTTGTCCTCGGACGCGAGCTCGTCGCCGTCATCCTCGTTGGGCAGGCGGCGGATCTCACAGTTCTGCTTCGCAAAATCGACGCGGGCCGCGCCGAGCTCAGGATAGACCAGCAGGGCCGCGAATCATCGGTCACGGACCAACGTCAACTACGCCCGCGCACGCTGGCTGCCCGACACAGTAAGCCGCATACTTTGGTGGATCTCCATCCACTTAGGGCGAACATTAATTGCCAGAGTGCCGTCATGTAGCACCCAGACATCCTGGTGCTCAAAGAGACGGGGCTGGAAAGTAACCGCATACATGTCGGAAACCGGATGCGGGTCAACAAGTCCGAAGACGCTGACATCCAAATCCTGGCCAGCCACCGATCTCGCCCATCCACCTGGTCTGAGCCACCTTGGTAGCTCTCCGTTTGCCTCGCCATTCTCGCCAATCTGCGTCTTCTCGGCACTTGTTCGCGCTCCGAAGATACCCCATTCCCCACTTCATGCAACGGGTTCGTCGAGTGCAACAGACGGTCCACTCTTAGTCGGAAGACAATCTATTAACCTATATTGGCAGCTCCCCTGAAGATCGTTCCTGGGAGCTTCACGGCGCCCGGTCATGGACCGCCTCATGGCGGCGTCATCCAGGGGAACGACAATGGCCTCATGGGAATATCTCGCAGACCATTCGCACCGGATGCACATGCGTTTCGGGTCTATAATCCGAACGGAATGACCCTTGCAGGCACGAAGCATCAACGGCACTCTAGCCAACTGCGGCAAGACATGGGCTCCCTCATCGGCGTCATCTTCTTCCATTGGAGAGCGCCCAAAACTGTCCTCCCAATCATCGGGCTCGGCGGTCGGACCCGGGCCCGTGTCCGCGTCCGTCGCATCCGCGCCGAGGACCTGAACTGTGTTGGGAGGCAGTTGAGCGAGTGCATGCATGAAGCGTGCCGACGCTCGGTCGTAATCCGTCGTCGTTCAACATCTAGACGACGACGCACGCCTCAATCCACCCCCATGAGCTGTGAACATGAGCCGCGCTGTGCATCGCCAAGTTGACGATGAGCGAGCCGAGGCGTCCAGCTTCCTCCACGTCCATACCCGAATACCACGCGAGTGAGCGTCGCTCACTAATTAAATCCATCGGGATAAGACAGGATTCCAGGGGTGGGAGAAAGCGGGGTTCAAGTGCGTGTAAACGGGCACGCGGAAAGCGGCGAGCTTTCGCGGCATCATCAGCAGTCAACCGATGAAGAAATTCGAATAATGGGTCGCCAATCGAACCTCGCGCCCACTCAAAGGGCCTCCTTCTCATATCCCCATGTCTCTCTCTTTTCGCGCTCTTGGTAGGGCCCCGGGCCAGGTGTCGTGTAATTCTTCCAGCCTCCGCGCCAGCTCGATGGGGGGGCGCGCAGTGCCCCGTCCCACCCATCTACGATGAGCGAAGCGCCAAACTCGTCCTTCTCGGCGTGCTCGAGCCCAACATGTGCTGTTTCTCCGTACTCCCTCCTCCTCTGCTTGTGTGCATCGATCGAGATCTGATCGCTCTTGGGAGGCGTGGGGGCCACGCAGAGACGCGCGTGCTTCGACGGAGAGGCGCGAGGGGGCTTGTCGGAGAGCGCGCCCAGATAAGTCAGTTCGGGCGGACGCCTGTAATATAACGTCCACAGGCCACAGGCTTGTCCGCATCTTTGTCCTGCTCTCGTCCTTTGAACCGCTCGATTCGACCTTATCTCCTGATTCGCGGGGCTCGCCCTCTTCCGTTTCTTCCTTGCGGCCCGGGCCCGGGGCGCCCCTTTATCCGCCAGGGGTCGGGGGATCTTCTTCATCAGACGTGTCCAGGTTGACCGCGTCTGGCCCTTTCTTGCGCGGTGGCTGCCATTGCTTGGGTCTTGCGCCCTCGACGGGCCCCTGGCCTTGAGCGCGCGGGGCAGCGTCCGAGGGCAGTGGGGCGGGCGGGGAGGCAGCGGCGCAGCCTTGCCCCCCCCCCCCCCCCAGCATCTGCAGCGGAGGAGTGCCCTGGCTCGCGCGCGGGGCGGTCCGAGTCCACTTCCATGTCCACCTCGGAGGACTTACCTCCCGCTGTCCGAAGGCGATCTGAGTCGACTGACAAATGCGACGAACTGTCGGTCTCCTCAGGCAGATCAGGCGCGCCCTCTCGGATCTCGGCTCGGCGCCACCAGTCGAGTCTCCTCTTCTCATGGGCCGAGATCTCCGCGGGGGCACTGCGCCTGCGCGCGTCGGCCCAGCGCGAATATGCGCGCTGGTGGGGGGTGCGCAGGTCGATATGCAGCGCAGTATTCGGCGTGTCGCAATAGTCGCCCGAAATCACTGGCCGCAGGTGCGCTGGCCTTCCTCGCGCCCTTCTGTGCCTCCCTGTAAATCGTGCAATGTCAACCAAGCTGAAGACAGGTTCTGATCTGCTCCATGCGAGACGCATTCTCCTTGAGCACCACTGGGCGTTCCTGAGTTAATGGCCTCGCACCGCCCATCGGGGGTGCTCGATGGAACGGCGCCCTTCCCGCGGATCAGGTGGCCGCGCGAACTGTCCACGCGCGCGCGCGAGGGCCGTTCTGCATGGCCCGCGAGGGCCCACTTGAATTTTGGAACCAGCATGGCCACTGTTCTGCTGTAGAC